TTAGTATTTAAATATTCATTAATATTTATTTCAATAAACATATATTAATGAACAAATAAATTCTAAAATCTGAAAGGGGAGGAGAGGGGGAAGGAAAAAAAAAATCTGCTGGGAACAGCCGGCTGTTTCCAGTCGGCCCGGACAACTGGGCCGACTGTTTCCAGCCGGCCCCGGACAACTGGGCCGGCTGGAAATATTTGGCCCAGTTTTTTTCGTCCGTTTTATCTGAAATTTACGCTCAAATTTTTTATTTTTTTCCTTTTTCAACGAAATAATGTTTAAATATTTATTTTACAAACACTTATAAATTTTTCCTGTAAAATATATGCATACAGAGATGAATTTTTTTGTTATTTTTGCTATAAAAAAATTATAAATCTGTGTTTAAATACTGTAAAATATATCTGCCTTTGTCAAAAAAAATGATTTAAAGATTCAAACAGTAAATTTAACTAAAACAAAAATAAAAATGCGTATTTACACTTACCAATTTTCAGTGCCGACTGTGAGTATTGTTTCTTTGTTGAACCTTTGATAATTATGGGAGATTTCAATATTTTATCAGATGGAAGGAAAAAATTCTTTTTTACTATATTGAAGAAACTGATAAGCAAAACTGATTTTAAAATTTACGTATGGAAGTAACTGAATTTATTTAAACTATTAAGGGTATTATTGTCTTTTAAAGAATTGATATACTTTTGTAATTGTGAAACATGAATAAGGGCACAATTGTCTTTTTAGTGACAAGAGGCCAATGTGGTGAATACAAAAAAAAAGGGTCAAACTGGAAAATTGGTTGTTTGACCAAGCCAATTTAAAAAGTACCCCGAATATGTATATTGTGTTTGATTAAATTTTTTTTAATTATAATTATCAAAAATGTTATTATCACCTTATATGTGAATTTTAAACTAATTCTCCCGTATTTATGATAATTAGTCTTTAATAGTCGGTTTTTAGGCAATTTTTCCTTAAAATATTGGTCAAATTTCATTTTAATATATTTCGTTTCATTTATAATTTTTATTCAGTTTTTTACGAAATTCGCCAACATTTATCAAATTTAATTACTAAAAATCTACATCAAATATGGATATATTTTTCAATTCTATGAAAAACTCATTAAAATTTAAAAGGTATAATAAAATTTGAGAAAAAAATTTTAACCTATGTTTGATAATCATTTTTAATTTCAACTACACATTCAAAAGCACCACTCATTATTTGCCACACATTTCGTTTTTTTTATTGCTATTCTTCTTAAAAAGTTATTTAATATTTCCCAAATAGAGATATTTATTTTTCGATAGTAAGATTTTCTCAAGTCACTCATTACAATCATGAAAATATATCTCGCTTCAAAATTTTGAGCATAGACCGAAGTTAGGAAACAAAATTTACTTTGTAAAGTTGAACATGTGAGGATTTGCGTGACAATTCAATAGTTATTAGACTGTACCTATTCAAGAGTGAATTACAACTCTAAAAAAATTGTCAAAACACGAATAATTAATACATTAGAAAAATGTGTGTGAGAAAGAGAGAGAGAGGTCCAATGTCGGCCTTACAATTACAATCTGCTTTCACTCTAAAAATTATCAAAAAGGGCTGAAAATAGTTCCAAGCTAGACCAACTCCATTGAGTAGCACTTATTAATTAAAAGAACTCATGCATTGTGAATCCAAGACTGTAACCATGCTTCCACGCTTTGCTGCACATTTTTCTTTTTGTAATTTATCAACTGCACCAACATTCATTGACAAAGAAGAAGATATCAACGTGTTTTTGCACGTGCATACATGCATGTATATATCTGCATATAAAGAAATGATCTACTATGCAATCCTACTTATTTTATGCTAAGCAATGGTGACATAACATGACTCATGACACATTAATTCAACAAGTCTAGTCCCAATTTGGTGTAGCTAAAATTCAGATTTTTCGTAAATTTTGATAATTTGCATCCGTTTAGGTGTAGCTAAAAATAAGAGTTTTAGTAGATTTTAACAAAAACTGATAAATATTGTGTAGTTGAATAGTTGTGGATCTAATTAAATGTAATGTAAAAAATAATAGTTGATTTTAACTTAGATTTTTATTAAAATTTTAAGTTATGTCAAACAGTGATGAAATGTGTGGTTGAGAAATTGTGAATCCCATAAAATATATTAACTTTGACTTGGGTTTTTATCAAAATTTTAAGTTACGCCAAATGAGAGTTTAATTTAATTTCAGGGACCCACCATAAACTTATTCACTAATTGTTATGACGTCTTAGTAGATCATTTCTTTCTATATTATATATAATGAGACTCCCTTACCTTAGAGGGCTCATTTTGACATTGCAAGAAGGAAAGTGTCCACTGTCAACATCTCCTTGATAAATGCTTTTGCACAAAACTCTGAAGGGAAATCCATTCATTTTTTTGCCATGCAATAAGAAATCAATGTGGCCTCTTAGGATAATATCCATAAGCAACTGATGAACCTTGGACTTGTCCTCTAAATCTTGAGCATCAGCATCTTCAACCTCAATGTCCTTAACGGAGGTATGCACTTTCACTTCAGCTGTCGTACTAGGTTTCTGAGTAAAGTCCTTCAAATGCATTTTCCCCAAGTCGACACCTTCGGACGATACTTCAACGTGCACGTGGCTATATACGAGCACAATCTTACCATTTTTGTTGGTCGCGTTGAGGTATATGTTAAATTCCGATGTCAAGAATGTATCGTCTTTGGATTCGTTTATCTTGAGTTTAACGACGTCAATCCTCTGGACGTGAAAATGTGGGAGGTTCGACTGGAGGAACACGAAGTATATTCCGCATATGAGGAGGATGAAGAGAAGGGCGACGCCTACGATTAAGGATCCGCAGGCACAGCACACGTTGAACCGTGAGCCACATTTTCCCTTTTCACCCTGCCCTCCAAGGTCACCGCCGTATGGCTCCGCCCTCGATTTGGATAGAGTGGATTCATTGAACGAAACTCGCCGGGACAGGTTCTTTTGAAAGCTCTGCTGGTGGTTTTTTCCGCCATTTTTGGAAGGTTTTGCAGCAGAAGCCACCATTGAAAGAGCAAACTGGAAATCTCACTGCTTAATGGAGGAAAAAATGTCTCTTGTTCTGGAATTCACACGTCAGTAGTCTGATTATGATATTATGGCCACTCTCTCATTTGCCTTCTATATTTAGAAGAATGGCATAACATGTTTTGCTAAATCTAAGGTTGTAAATGAATGACCAACCTAGACTTTCTAAGAACCTTAGGCTTATATTGAAATGCGGGTATGAATGATTCATTCTGTTAAGACAAGACAATTGAATCTTTTCCGTGATTCGTGTAAAATATTTCTAGATTCACATTAAGACAAGATAATTGAATCTTTTTCATGATTCTTAGATCATATTTCTAGATTCACATCTGAGAGATCCTTCTCAAAATCTTCTTGAGACGAAAACTCTACTATTCTTAAAGCCATAAAGCCTGTTTGAATCCCCCCAATTAAGACATTCCTCCTACTTCAACAAATTGCTATTAATTTTGTCTTGAAGCTACCGAAGTCGGAATTTGGAACAATTCTGTCTTTCTTTCATTCAAACTTTGTTAATTGAGAAAAACACAGTCAAAACTCCACATGCTTGCATGGGACGACAAAACCCTCTTAACCAATCCTTTCGACATTGTTGTGGCTACAACGTTCCCGCCCATGTTTGGTTTTATTAACAATCAAAATTTTATTTTATTAAAAATTAATAAAAGTTATGAATCGAACGAAATGTAAAACTAAAAATGAATTTGAAAAATTATAAGCTCGGTCAATCAAGGCTTCATTAACACATTCTTTTGACAATGTTGATAGTCTTCACGTCAATTTCAGAGTCGTAGATGAGTTCTTGTACACGTTTTGTAGGCCTTTCCTCCTCGTCGAGGGTTTGTAAAACAGTGATGAGTCAAACGAAATGGTAACTATTAATCGAATGGTGACAATATCCATTCCAACTATTAAGGAGCATGATTCTTTTCAAAGAAAAGAAAGAGAGTCTTGAGAAATCTAACTAGCAAACACAATTATAAGAGAACACAAAACATAAGCAAATTATCCATTTAAGAATATTGACAATCGTCAATGCCTTCATGGAAGCAGCTTGTAGAATAATAGTCTAGAACTCGATTGTAACAAACAGAATCTTAAAATATTTTTTTCTTTTCTCCGGGTTTTAAGTGTACATCTTGATGGTTCTCTTTGTTGATATTCAACATCTACCTTAAAAACTCTTACAGATCACTTGTAAAACTCGAAGTCAGTGTCGGGCTTCTTTACATTGGATCTGTAACCCTTCTCGAAGTCCTTGGGGAGTATAACATACCGATTCTTTCTTACCGCATGCATTCCAGCTTCTTGGCAAATAGCAAGAATCTGGAACCAGTAAACCACCCAGAGACATTGATGTTATATCACTTATTCAGAGAGAATAATGAGTATTTTTACATCAGCCAATTGAAAACAAGGCAATCATACAAGAAAACAAAAATTTCATATTTAGTGGTTCAATTTCTATTCAGACTCTCTTTGCACTCCCATGACAAAATGTGAATAAAAGCAACTAACCTCGGCAGCACTAATTTTATCTGGTCGAGACACGTAGTCTTCCAAGTCCACCTCATCGCCTAAATTCATTTTAGCAGTGCAAACCTGCACGAATTCGAGATAACTTAAAACTCATGAAGACAGTACAGTTTAAGTGTCTTTTTATCTCAATGCAGTAAAAATTCTTATCTCGGTTACATTTTACTTGACTTTGTGCACACTGTTATTTTTTTTCTTTTTCTCCTCTTCTTCTCCTAGAGGCATACTATTTAAAAAGAAGAAAAGAATGAAAGGAAGATAACCAAGAAAGGTTCCTCAAACCTGAAACACAAGCCTCTTTTGACGTCTATCAGGCAAAGGAAACTCTATTTTACGGTCAAGCCTTCCTGGACGCAGAAGTGCAGGATCCAAAGTGTCAGCTCGATTAGTTGCCATAATAACCTTTACATTAACTGTCTGATCAAAGCCATCCATCTGCAGTGGTTAAGCCAAATTCATAACTCTAATTAATGGATGTGAAATGAGGCAAGAAAGATTGGTCAAAACTCTTCAATAAGGTAGGTTCATACATGACAAAAATCAAATTATATCATATAGTCCCCACATCTTTTTCATAATTTTTTTTTCTTCCAAAGTTTACCTGATTTAATAATTCCATGAGAATTCGCTGGACCTCTCTATCGGCTCCAGTTTGAGCATCAAACCTAGCAGTAGCAATTGCATCAACCTCATCAATGAAAATAATTGCAGGGGCATTTTCTTTTGCAAGCCTGAAAACATCACGAACCATTCGAGGTCCCTGTATGTATTGTCGAAACAGAGAAAATTCATGTAAACTCAAGAATAAAACAAAGTATAAGACAAGGTAGCGGCCACAGTAATTTCAATTACCAAACCATGAAATTTCAATATACAGGTAAGAACAAACTCCCAATATACACTCAACTTAAAAGGATATACATCTCAAAAAAAGTAGTAATGGGTAGAGAACAATTTCCTCCGCATGAGTATCATCTTTAGAACTTAGAGGCTTCAGTAAATATCATGGTGTTCAATAAAAAACTGCTGCTGTTAAGAATTCTTTCCTCTTTCACCACTTCCGCAGTTCATTAAAAACAATAAACAGACTGAGCATGTATAGCAATTCCCATAAAAAATGAACAGATCACACGATATATCAAAAAGTTAAGGAAAAATTGATAAATCCTAAGCTCACAACTAATAGAAATCCAACACAGAAAACAAAAAATCAGCAAGTGCTGTACTAAAATACAAAATAAAAAGATTATGTGAGTGCATGATAACAGATATTCAAACTATACCTCCCCCAAATATTTCTGAACAAATTCTGAGCCTACTACTCTAATAAAGGCTGCAGTTGTATGGTGAGCAACAGCCTTAGCAAGCATTGTTTTCCCAGTGCCAGGAGGACCATACAGCAAGACACCACGCGGAGGATCAATGCCAATCTGTTGGTACAATTCGTGGTGAGTCAAAGGTAATTCAACAGCTTCACGGATTTCCTGCTTTTGAATGTCACATCCTCCAATATCCTGCCAAAGCCAATAAGTGATAAAATTTGGTTGGAACTTTTGCAAGTTAAAACACCTCAACTATTTGAAAATACATCTGAGAAATATGAGAAGGCAAAAATAGTATAATCGGAAAAATCAATCAATTCACCTCTACAACTGCGCCAAAAACAATATGCCAAACAACTCGTGTTGAAATGGAAAAGGGGGAGGAGGTCAACCAACTCAGCAATACAACAGTGCCAAAAACAATATTCCAATTACAAGAGCATCACCTCATGTAAGCCGTTAGTTGGAAAAATATTTTTTTCTTGTAATTAATGTTGATGCAACTGACATCATGAATATGAAGTTGTAATGAATTCGAATTAAAACCTCAGATAAGTTAGGATCAAACTGCAAGAATAGATTTCAGCAAAGCGAAAGAAGGCCGGGAATACATTTTTCCAGTTAGAAAGCCGAGTATATGTTGTTCCAGCCAAAGAGGCTCAATTCCTATGAACTAAAGAGCTAAATATTCAGTCAAGTAGGAAATAAAATTAAGAGAATAATTAAATGATATTATTCATCAAACTCTATACAGCACCTATACATATAGGAATGCAATCTAAATAACAGTCATGGTGGATCATTCTGAAAAGCACTCTTACATGAAGTTCATTCAGTCGAGCCGAGAGTGCAGATGTTGAAGGTTAACACGTCTTTACCTATACTTATTTTTTAATTTGTAGATTATCCATATGACATGCCTCAGGATATCTTCAATTATCGTTTCAAGTTATTCTCTATTCTATCCCATAGGCCAGAAGGTTGGCATAAGTCAGCTGATCTCATGGAAACATTTAAGACTGAATCCATATCATTTGAATTAAGATATCTCATGTTCTCTATGGAGACTACCCTAGAACTGGTATCCTAAAAAGTGTGCAAAGTATGGGAGATTAGTGTGCATTACATAAAAAAAGTCAATGTCAAAAAGATAGCCCTTCAATATCTCTAAATTTGTAAAACATAACTAAGTGAGTGCAATACATTGACCGAGCTCGAAATCAGAGATGGCAAGTACTATTTCAGCAGATAACCTAGTAGCTTCTCATACTTTAACAGCAACATCCAGGTAAAGAAATTGCATGTCAGAATCCTAGTATGACAAGTGAGCACTATTTGCTCATACCTTAACTTGTAGTCCCGAATATATTTTCAATAGCATAGACATTTTAAAGCATAGCATCTTCAATTGATTTGTTTAAACCTCTTAAAACATGGGGGAAAAAATATTCCATCACAATTATGTAGATAAAGCTTTCAGCAAAAACTTGCATTTTACGATGTGCATATGAGATCAAGCGTGAGTTTCTTAGTTATGACTTGGTAGTTAGTACATGTAGCCTATAGCACATTACTGTTAATCCATACAACTACAAACTTCACTCAACTAGAGAGATTTCAGGGTCTGGGAATTATATTAAATTACGCAAGCCTCCATCATTATATTTCTAAGCACGTCTTATTAATTTTCGCCTTACAATAATCAATAACTATCTTGACATCTCAAAATTGGAAAACAAAAGCATTCAGAATTTGTTTCATCAATTATCTTCACATCTCAAAATTGGAACAGTAAATTTATAATCCGTGCTTTCATGGAGTTGCATATGGAATCGTGCATATATCTCCTCTTCAGAGCTCACCATACAACAAGCCCTACCACAAAATAATTTATGGAATATGAATTAATAGGACTAAAGTTCTTAAGATTGTTAGAAATTCGGTAAAAGTAGCTAAATCACATTTAATAATTAGATAAAACGTTTCTTGGCACATTAAAGTCTATTATTCATAAAGTCATCAAATAGAAAATTTGCAATATTTAATCAATATTCACTTTCGAATATTCAAATTATTCAAACCAAACAAATATCTGGAACAAAACCCAATCAAGTAAACAAAAACAACCTAAAACCATGCTATCGAATTTTCAACAAAATTTCCAATTCAAAAAGCTTCTAAAAAGCTTACATTATAAGTAACATCCGGCTTTTCGGACTGGCTAAGCAGCGAGATACTTGAATCAGCCTCCGGTGGAAGCACATCCACGAGAGCATTCGAGTGGCGCTGAAGTGCCACCGAGGCCGATGGCTTCAAGAGTTCCCTATTAATGGTACTAAGAATACGTACATAGTAATTAGACCCCGTGGTGGACCCGACAATAGCGTTGTTCTGGTCTATCATCTCCATGAACTGGCCAATAACAAGGGGCACCGACTGAATCCTTTTCACCTCTTCCTGAGCCCGCAAAAGCTCGCGGCGGAGGTTCTTCTGTTCATCCTTGACGTACTCTTCTTGAATTTCTATAAATTCCTGTTGCCGTTGGAGGGATTTGAGGCGGGAGTAGAGGTCGTCATCCGGGTCCGAGGAGAAGGATGCGGGCATAGGTCGGGTTTGTGGTGGGTGCTCCAATGAGGATTTTGGATCGAGGACCATCGCCGTAGCCATGGCTGAAGCAGTTTGGAAATGTGAATGGGGAAAGGGGAACAATTTGGGGAATTTTAGGTTCATTGCACTAGACACGACGTCGTAGCGCCTCACTGTTATATTTTCTCCAGGTTAAATCAACTAATAGCCACTAAATATAAAATTGGGTGATCGTGATGAAATAAAATTAAATTGAGTAATCATGATGATATCAAGTTTAAAATTGAGTGACCGTTGATGAATTTAACCCCATAGTCTCTCTTCTTTAATTTTATTTGGTAATATTAAGGAAAGAGAAAATTGCAGTTGAAGTCTCCAACCTTTCATAAATGTGCTCCTTTAAGAGGCATTCTCCCCAGTTTAACTACTTTTCTTCAAAAACATTTTTTTCAAACACATATTATCACAATGAAATATTCACACGAAAATTCAAAATTTTTCTTTATTTTTTTAACTACACATTCTCCAAAAATAACTATTTCAGAACTCATTTTCCTAAAAAAAAATATAATAATAATAAGAGTAATGCTATTCGTAGTGAAAACTGCCAGTAGTCGCCCTATGTGACATATACTTGACAATTTGTTATTTGATATATAGATATGGTAGTTATTTTTTGAATTATACATCAAATAAGAAACTGCCAAATATACGCCACATAGGATGACTTTCGATAGTTTTCACTGTAAATAACATTATTCTAATAATAATGGGCATCGAACTAGAGCTAAATTAGCACGTGCAAATCCCATGATCCCCTTTTTCAGGTGGCAAAACCATCTTTCCAATCATAAAATCAAAAGAGAGAGAGGCGAATATATTAATAACTTAATTTTCACAATACACCAACACCACCACTTGCCAACCTCACAACTATCACATCCTTAATTATCTTTCATAGTTATTAGATTCGATATGATCGATGTCCTAGACAAGAAATTGGGTCATTGAATCACTGATCCAACTAGGGGGGGTCAATGGCTCAACCATTGCTATATAATTCTACTTACAATTGACATTAAAATGTCAGTACAACAGTTTTGCATTCTTCGTACTTAAATGTAATGCAATTAACAGAAATTATAGTGTGAATATAATGTAGTGCAATTAACTTACGCTCGAACGGACTTTCTACATTATTAAATAAAGGGCAAATTAGGCCCAATACCCTGAAAAAAATTAGGATAATTCTACATGTACATTATGATGTCCACAAGGGTGTTCATAATGTAGATGTGGAATTCCATTATTTTTCAACCCTCCAATGATGTTATGTCGCTTGTACATTATTGATATCTTTATGGACACTATCATGTATATGTAGTATAATTCAAAAAAATTATCTAGTTTGATTAATACCGTATTTATTTATTAAATCATTGAACAACGTAATTAATACCTTAAAACCTCCCCCAAACCTCCAAACCCTTGACGCCTTTGTGAATGAGGAGAGTAGCAACGCCACCATGATTCACAATTGTAATTCAAGAATCGCCCCTTAGAGATTAAATGAATCAATGCAGCTATTCAAGACGGCGAAAATGGTTTTGGAAATTGTAAAACCGAACACCTGCATTCGACGGTGTTATCGATCCCTCTTCACCTCTCATCTTCCTCTTATACTACCTTTTCTCCCATCACCTTTTTTTTTGGTTTTTTTTCCAGTTTGTTTTTAGTTTATGTAAATTGGGGGTACCACCCATTTGATTGCAGTGCAGAAAAGTGTGGTTTGGGAAGCCATGATTGATGGTAGAAAAGTGGCAGTAAAAAAAAAAACCAATTTTATCCACCTCAGATGATCTCGATAAATTCCATAAAGAAGTGAAATTGCTCTGGTTAACTCTATTTCCCTCAGTATTCTGTAAATATACACATCTCTGTTTAGAGTAAATCTTCCATTTAATGCCAATTTAATAGAATTTGAGAGCACGTTTGTTGAGTTATGCAATGTAATTATCAGAATTCCAATTCAATGGCAACTACTATACCGAGTAGGAGTTTAGCACAACATAAAACCATTTTGTAAAGTATTGCACTTATGGTTGATGTAATAAATTCTAATTTAAATGTGATATATAGTTTTTTAGTTTTTTTTTAATAATTTTTGATTTGTGCAATGCGGTTATGAAGCAAGTTGGATCATCCGAAATAGTAATGCTACTTGCACGGCATGCCAGGCCACTGAACTATATGTTTTTCTTTGAATTCTACGAGGTTGGAAACCTCGCGCAAGAGTAACATATTGAAGAATGGAGTCCGAGCATTGATCAATCCCTCCCCATTGCCAAGTAGAACTATTCAGGTCAGGATTATTATTAGATATAAAGCTTCTATCTTCTTCCTTTTCTGGAAGGAAATAACACGGGAAATGGGAAAGAGAAGTATGATGGAATATAGACACGTCTAAAAATATGAAAAAAATGGGTTATTCCAAAATTCCCTAAGAAATTTAGAAACAGATGCATTGGCATGGTGTAGAAACGCAATGGCCCAATTGAAATGAATTCTTTTTATAACTATGTAGTTCGTATGCTTATAGTTTTTTCATATGTTCGAACCTTTTGTAATATATGTTGCCATAGTTTAGTGACACCTTTTCCTCCTGGAGGTCTATAGGTTGACATGAATCCTTAGAATGTAATTCCTTGTGCAGTTCAATATGTGAAACGAACTTGGATTATCGAGAATGAGAAATATGAAGCTAGTACTACGTGAATTATTCAATAATTGCTCTTTATGATTTTGAATATTATGACCGTTGACTTCTGACTTGGTCCTAAATATTACCACCCGAACAAAGAATATCATGTTATGATTGGGGTTTTGATTGGTATTTGTGCCACTTTTTTGAAATTTCTGTCACCTTCTGTTATTGTCTACTACTTTTTTTTATATTATTTTTATAACTTTTTTGAGTGACAAACGATCACCTTTTTTTTTTCCGTCAGTTTTTGAATGTTTGTCACTTTTTAGAGTTTGCATCAATTTTTTAATTTGTCACTTTTTTTTAAAAAAAATTTTGTCACTGTTTGAGTGTTTGTCACTTTTTTATTTTCTATCACTTTTTTATTTTTTGACTCTATGTAACTTTTTTTAAAATTTTTTTCACTTTTTTTTTGAATTTTTGTCAATTTTTTTTAGTGTTTGTCATTTTTCAATCACTTTTCTTGAAATTTTTATTCCTTTTTTTAGTGATAGATATCACTTTTTAATAAAAGTGCCATTGTATATAATTTTTAATAAAAAAAAGTGACGCTAAACTTTTAAAAGTCACATTGTTTCACTTTTTTTTTTTAAAAAATACACAATTTCACTATCTCTATTACTATCACTACTACTATAAAAGAGAGAATAGCCCGGTACTGTTCATTTTTGCACCGTCTATTTCACACTGAAATTGGTTCACCACTATTCCCAAACTGGTTTAATCACTATTCACAAAATATCTTCTCTGACTCCGCTATATTGCTTTGATTTCTTGCAACTGTAGCCTCTGTTTCTCTTTCTTCTCCAATACAAACGAAAGCTAAGAAAACCCTTGGTCGTTCAGTCTGCCTCACCATCATTTATCATCCCTCACGATAGTGATAATCTCTATAGAGATTCAAAGCTAGCAGGTCTGTAACTGATCTAGTTCTAGAAATTTCTTTGATCTTTATGGGTATTTTCTGTACTTTTTGCCTTCAAATTATGCACTTAAAGAAAAGAGTGAATGTGGTCTTCGCTGTTCATTTTTCTGCCCTCGTTTTCACACTAATCCGGATACCTACTATTTACAAACGACATTCTAACTGTTCGTCAAAATATCTACCGTATATAACATGCCTTTTGTACCTTTTCTCCTTACTACTCTCTCTCTCTCTCTATGGATTGGAGCAAGAAATTCCAGATAATCTAACTTCTCAAATAATCCGACTCCCACAATCAGTTCCTAATTTGTGTTGAAGGAGAGGCCGATTCAGGATTCTGAATTCCCAGTCTTTTGGTTTCCACTTCCTCTGATTGCAGGTAACTCACTTCAAATTTTTTCTTTCTGTTTTGTTGACAGCAAAAAAAGCTTTCTTTTGCTTCTTTGTGATTTTAATGAAAGAATGTAACTTTACTCATATCCCAAACATTTATAATATGAATAGGTGATGGGGAGAACTCTGTCGACAAAAATGGATGAGCACACCAAGCAGAGACGGAGGGAGAGGGGGGCTGGGGGCAGCCCAATAGCAAATTGACTTGTAAAAAATGGAAAATTCAGTCCAAATTATTGGTGAAATAAAGAAGAATAAAAATTTAGCCCAGTCTATAAATTAATTTTTAGTACAATTAACTTTATTCCCAATCCAAATTCAATGTTCAATTATTTAAGGGGGTGTTTGAGTCACATTATTTTGGTAATAATGCATTCTTGAATAGTGTATTGATGGGAAATGTGTAGTTAAAAAATAAGGAAAAGATTTTGATTTGCGTGTAATATTATTTTATTAAAGAATATGTAGTTAAAATGATGTCAAATCATTGTTTAAAAATACATTTTTTTAGAATAATGTGGCTCAAACATGCCCTAAATTTAAATAGTTCATTTATAATCAAATTAATTTATTATATTAGAAATAAATTTTTATTGATTAAAGTAAAAAAATAACTTATTGTAGCATGTCACATGTTTGACTAAGCTTAAAAGTAATTAATTTTTTCTAACGTATTTTTTCATATATTGTTTATTTATACTTGTGATTTAAAAATTTATTTATTTCAACCACGAAATGGAAATATGCTTTATATTTACTTTTATCATTTAAAAATATATTTGTTAGAATTTTGTCATAGATGTTTAAAAATATATCTTGATCCATTTTGTCATTAGCGTGAAAAGTGTAACCTTTTAAACTAAATCTCGAGTAGCAAAGAGCATTTATGAAAAAATTTAATTTTCAGCCCACCCTAACATATCTTCCTAGCTCCGCCCTTGACACCAAGATCTATCGAATGAACCTATGGGCCAACAAATGAGGTAGCGGTTTGGTAAATCCCATCTTTTTCCGTCATTTTTTGATCTATATGAAGTCTTATGCCAATATTTATGTCTAGTTTGGTTCAAGGATGCTCCATTCAACCGCTTTTACTCTGCTATAGCAACCGTACTGGGGAGATTTTTCTAAATAACCTGCCACTATTTATTTTTGGTAAAATGTCTATAATACCCTTAATGAAATGATTTGTTATATTTTGCACAAGATATCCTTAATTTATTGGAATAGTTCTAAAATTCCTCTATTTCTCTCATTTCGGGTTTTAATATATAGTTTCATCCTTTGATCTAATAAATTAGCATAATCTGTAATATAATTGTCATGTAATTCACTAAAATTATCATATTTCTTAGATGAAATATCCATAGTCTCTAGTTGAGCAAAAATATTTCTTATTTTTATTAATAGTTTTTCTAACAGATTATCTAATCCTTTAATTGTATAACCTGGCATTATTCAGATAATTCCTTGCAAGCTTTATGAATAATAATAATAATAATATGTTAGATAAGTTTTTTGCAAACATGAAAAGTAATAATCCCTACGATTCTTTCAAGATATTAGAAGAATTCTTTCTAAATTTAACAAAGACAATAATTTTACCTTACTTTTGATCTTAGATCTGTATTCTTAGAACCGAGTGACCTTCAGGCTCTGAATCTGCAAACTGTTCCCTCAAACGGCCTTTTGCCTCAATGGGAATTCTGATATTTCAGCTTCTGCCCTCACTGTATCTTTTCTTAGAGTTAAGAGTAAAGATCTTAAGTAAAGAAAACTCTCTCTTTGTTAAAGCAAGAAAGAGATTATCTTCTTCAATCCATCAAGAATCTATGGGATAGGAAGTTTAGAAACTCATATTTTTCTGATATCAAAAGATTGAGATTTTATTTCTATAATGATTTATACAAGATTTCTATTGTATACAAGGGGTTTCCAGAAAAACTGGTTTTGAAGAAAGCTTAAGGAAAGAGAATGATTTCTAACTCGAGATGTTCCATTCTTTCTCCAAAGACCTCTATTTATACATGATTCAAACTTGCTATTATTGATCTATTACATCATTGCATACATCATAATTTTGAAAAGGTTCACATGCATCTCTATTCTTTTCCTCCTGGGGTCTACATTTTCACATGCATTTTTTGCTTTTTCCATCAAAGGGTCATATTTTCTTCTATTATTGCCTTTTCATCTTTGACTCCATATGCAGCTGGCTAGATGCTTTTCTATTATTGCTTTTCCATCTTTGTCTTCATATGCAGCTGGTTAGATGCTTTGGTAGTGGTAGGTTCTTTTCCATTCATCAATCTTTCAATTTTGTCTACATGTGGGACATTCCCTCAATCTGCATGATTCTTGGATTGTTGTTGGACTTCCATTAATTTGATGAGTATCAAATTTCTGGATATATTCTTTCAGAATGGTAGATTTTTCTTTTCCATTATTTGTAAGGAGTGTCTATCCTTCATATTGGCATAAGCATCTGAATTTTTTATCATATAAATTCTTTGCAATGTTGTAAAGAACTTTCATCCCCAAAACTCTCCGGAATTTTATCCATGATTTATTGATTTTAGGCAAATGTTTATTATTTCGGCCAACTTCAATCTGAAAATCTCGGCCAACATATCCAATTGTGATAATATGTTCAGCAGGATAGTATATCCTTCCATCAACTTCGGGACTTATTGAATAAAATTTGATATAAATCGACTTTCCTTGGGCAAATTTTGAAACTTCTGCCCTGAATATATCATCAAATTTTTCAATTTCTTTTAAATCTTTTCCTGGATAGATCAAATCCAGAAATCCATAATCTGCTGCCATTTTGACCATGAAAGGGTCTGCATCTTTGGTAATTATTAATCTGGGATAAACATGATCTCCTGATGCAATAAAATAAGATTCATTTTCTTCCAATTCATAAACAATTTTGGCAAATGATCTATATTCCTCTTCTTTTGATGATAAAGGGGTATCATCATCTTCATCAGTTTTAATTCTTATAACTCTTGTATGTTCATCACCATTTTTTATAGTCATCTTCCGGGGACTTGCTATGTCTTGTTTGATATTGTTGGGTCCACTGCTGCTTCCTGGCTGTGTACCTATTTGTATTTTTGAGATTGTATCAATTGGCATTTCCTGTTTGGTATCTAATGACTCGAATTGTGAAGTAATATCAACAATTCTGTCATTCAATTCTTTGGTATATTTGGAATGAGAATTAGAGATTTCCACCAACAATTTGACATTTTGTTGGATAAATTCTGCCATTTCTTCTAATTGCTCAATTCCAATTTTCATATCTTCAGATTCTTCCATGAGGAATTTCATTTGTCTGTTGACGTCTATTAATGAATTTTTGATATTATCCATCTCCAAATTCGATGTTCCTGCTCAAAAAATCTGCAAGATAGTTATTTATTCCTTTATGAATAATATCAAAATTGTAGAATGATAAATATGTTTGTCATCTGTGTAACCTCCTATATTGAGGTTCTATAGGTAACTTATTTCTGATAAGTCCTGCAACTTGAGAATTATCAGTTTCAACAACAAATTTTTTAGATAAAAGGAATAATGAGAACTTTTTTATTCCTCTAATAATTGCTAGTAATTCTTTTTCATGAGTAGTATAATTCATTTCTGCTTGGTTAAAAGTTCCACTTGAATATCTGCATATTTCATTTAAATCTGTTTTTAATATAGCTGCCCAATATTTATCCGAGGCATCAGTATTGACAATTAGATTATCTTTTTCATTTGGTAATCTTAATTTTGGTAAATTTTTACATTCTTCTTTTAATGATTTAACAATTTCAGTATGTTCTTTATTCCAACCTTTAGTATTTGTTTTCCTAAGTAGAATTTGTATCTTATGTCTCTTTTTTGAGAGATTTTCAATAAATCATTCAGCATAGTTTAAACATCCTAAAATTTTTTGTATTTGTTCTTTGGTTTTTAACTCATCTGGAAAGCTTTCTATCTTTTTAGATATATGATTCTGTAAAATTATTCCTTTTATATCTATTGATAATCCTAGAAAATCTATTTCTTGTTTCTCTATTATAGATTTCTTTTTAGAAAGTACAATTCATTCCTTTTTGTATTCATTTATGAATTGTAATAAATGATTCTTATATTCTTTTTTATTATTAGAGCATATTAGTATATTATCAATATAAACAATAAGAAAATCACTAAACTTTTTGAATATATTATCCATTTTCCTTTGATATATTTGTGGTGCATTTTTTAAACCAAATGACATAACTAACCATTCATATTTTCCTTGAGGTGTACTAAAAGCTGTATATTGTATACTATCTTCTTCCATTTTTATTTGCCAAAATCCTGATTTACAATCAAATTTGGAATAATATTGTTTTCCTTTTGCAAGGTTTATTAGGATTTCTTTATTTGGTAAAAAGTAACCATCAAATTTAGTATATTTATTTAATTTTTTATAGTTTATTACCATTCTAGCTTTTCCTCTAACATGCTCAGAATGTTTCATAACCATAAAAACTGGACTACTATGAGGTCCATTACTGGGTCTAATTAACTTTTGTTCTAATAGTTCTTTTATCTGACTTTTAAATTCTTGCATATCCTGTAAGGTATACATCATTGGTCTAACTCTTATTATAACATTTTCTGTTAATTCTATTTTAGCCTTAGGATGATATGGTTTCCAAAATAATAATGGATTTTCTCCATAAATTTTTTCTAATTGTTCTATGATTTTCTCTATACTTATCTCTATTTCTGTTTTTAGGATCTTTTTATATGATATTTTTTTATTTTTTAGTTCATCTTGTACTATTGGTCTTTTTCCCATTTATCACCACGCTGGGCTGGCTGAACTCTGTAGAGTCTAAATTCTCTTGGTATTTTTAATAGATGTGCACAAGGTGTTTGTAACATTACCATGTAATTATTTTGTTTATAATATTGAAATTGTTGGATAAAATCATTTCCTAATAATATATCACATTATAACTTATTATAATTATATACTTTATTTATTATAACTTGTTTTCTATCAAGTATTATATTAACTTTTTCAGAACTATTAATTATTTGAGTACTTTCTCCAGTCACTCCTGTTATCTTTATTTTACTATTTTTATTCCATGATTTTATTAAGAAATTTTTAAAGATTGTTATATCACTTCCTGTTCAATCAAAGCACAAGTTGTTATATTCGTTTCTACTATAGTAACTTGTATATATACTGCCAATGGAAAACTAATTTGATTATTCATCCACTTCCTATTCTACATAATGTAGTTTGTCCTTTATGAGTTATATATAATCCTTCTCTTTTTATACTATAATATTATAATCCATTTAAGAAACTCATTCCTAATAATATATAAGGTT